ATTAATTTAAGTTTAGTTTTAAGTTTTAAATTTGTTTGAGACCTTTATGTTAGGAGTTTTTATATCGGTATTATTAATATAAGAGATATTATATGGTATTTTTTATTATTTGTATAAGTATAAACGATTCTGCTCTTTACTTATATGCTATTTCTTTGTTGAAAGGTTCAACCTTTCAAGGGGAGCAGAATGTTAGTTCTTATGCTAGTATCTTTAAGGACACATACAGTATAGTGGCGACATCTATACTCTATCGATTGTAAGGATCATCGATAACGAACAAAAGAATCAGTATCGCGACTTGTGATCAAGAGCGTTAACACGTACTAATCTGTAGTGAGCAAAAACCAAAGAAAGTTTAATTAAATAAGCTTCAATAAGTGTAAAGTATACATTTAATCGCTGTTCCCACCGTGTTCACCTCTCCGAACTTCCGCAACCAGAAACGGCCCCAACAGTATCCATTGTTCTTTTCTTTTGTAATATAATTCATGTTTTATCTTTTTATACCATTTTATTATTTCGTCAATTACGATTTGATAAATCAGATATCCATTTACCATGTTGGCACATTTTATGAGGTCACTGCAGTCTTTATTTTCTAAAATTTTGGCCAATTGACCGCTGAGGCCGCGAACGGTTGGTACACATTTGTATGTACTATTTTTCTTTTTAGCTTCTTCGAAAGCGGGATAAATATTAATAATGTGATAATAATAGTTTGACTGAATTATTGTGACAGGTTTGCAGCCATTGTTGCAGCTATAGATTATTTTTTCAGTATTTGCTCTTTTTGGACGTATGTTTCTTCTATCGCCCTTTTCTTCGGATCTTTTTATCGATGGATTATATGAAACTTCTTTTAATTCCATTGTATCCTTCCCTTCCTCCATGTGCTCTATTTCTATTATTTCCATTCCCTTTTCGTTTTTCTCGTTTTTCTATTTTTTCTTATCTTCCATCAGCTCCTCATTAAATTTTATTAATGAAAACATCTCTCGCCCTTTTTTCCGATCATTTTATCGATGGATTATATGAAACTTCTTTTAATCCCATTGTATCTTCCCCTTCCTCCATGTGCTCTATCTCCATTATTTCCATTCCCTTTTCGTTTTTCTCGTTTTTCTATTTTTTCTTATCTTCCATCAGCTCCTCATTAAATTTTATTAATGAAAACATCTCTTGTGATGGTAAATTGATTTCAAGTATTTTATTTTTTATCGAATGTATATTTGCCTTACTCTTGGAATTTTCAGATAATTCATGTGGAGTACTGGAGGACATTGTTTGTACATCGCTACAGACTGGATCAATTGCCTTGAATACAATAATTGATGGTATTGGTGAACATTTTAATATATTGTCGATATTTTTAATAGGCATATGTCTTATTGAGAGCGGAAAATCTTGCTGGCATTCTTCTGATTCTTTATTACTTTCTAGAAGAACTCTGCTTTTTTTTATTTTGGTCTTCTAGATCTTTCAAGATCTTCGCAATTTTTTGATTATCGGTATTTTCTGCTTCGTAACTAATAATCTGCCACAAATTATTATTGAACTCATAATGAAATAATTCTTCTATTTTATTATGGAAGTACTTTTGGAAGTAAAATCTTACTTCCAAATTTTTTTTATTTTGTTTTTTGGATAATGTTATTTCTAATTTGGCCTCTAATTTCCGCTTTAAAATGTCTTTTAATTCAGGAAACACCGAAGGCCATACGCTTTTAGAACATGGTATCTATTCTGACTTTCTTTTGTAATATAATTCATGTCTGAAAGCATATGAATATGTTATAATCACAGATTTGTATTAACTATTTGATGTGATTACTCGTCTAATGTGATTACTCGTATAGAAAATTTAAAAAATTTATTATTTACATAATATTCATAGATCATAAAAAACGTAGAGCAACATATTCATGGAACATATAGAGCAACAATAAAAACATTTTTTTCGTACAAATCCAAGTTATCGAATATTTACAAGTAAAGGTCAATTTCGTGAAAGTAAGTTGCTTATTGTTAGCGAGAGAGGTGGACGCGAGAGCGAGGAGCGCCGTGATATTTAATGTCGATGAATAAGGATGACGTGGAGCCGTCGGAAAGACGAGCGACTTGACAATATACAATTTTTGAGAAATTGTATCTAACATTTCCGCAAGCAACGTAGGGATAATCTCGTACGAAGAGACTGCACTGTCGAACGATAAGACCGCACAGAGAATCAGTGGATCGCGGGCCGGGAAAGCGCACTGGATTCACTGTCGCAACGGGACTTAGCCGAACAGCGCGAGAAGAATTACGCGTACGCGTCGATTACTTTTGGTCAAGAGCCGGTCGCGCCTTGTGCGCGCCTCTTTTATAATCTTGAATCCTTCTAGAAGGATCCAGAACGTATGACTCACTTTCCTTTGTCTTAAGGGAGCGATAATTATGATAGGAAAGGTTCGCGGTAGTTTTTTGATTGACGGGGGCTGGCAGCCCCTGATTGGGCGCCACTGATGTCAGTTTAAAGCGCAGTGATAGGCTTGGAGTGTCGAAAGGCTCGTAGCTCCCGATAAGCTAGAGCAAGAGCGACTGCATCGAAAGCGGTCATCTCTTTCATCCCGAATTCTCAGAAATTATCGATCGACCGAGCCGTATCTCCTATCGCTTTAAATTAAATCTCGTTTAAGGCGCCTCGTCTTCCATCGCCTTTAATTCGATTTCGAACACTTATCCACTCTTAGAAAAGGCATGTTAAATCGATACTTGTGGCACGATCACGATAACTTTAGCTCTCTATTTGAAAGGTCGTCTCTGAAGACAAATTTGACGACGAACACGGGAAAAATAATTAAAAAATTATAAGATCAATAGTTTGCAAGATATAACCAGGTTGGGATTTTTTTATGTACTTGGCGTATTTTTTTTACCTTTATGAGGTTTTTTTAGAGTCAAACTATTCAGATTAACAAAACCTTTATTAATTTCGTCATATCTAAATTAACTGTATTTTCCACAATTAAATATTTTATGTTCTACCGTTTCCTCCTCCCCATTACAATAGCCACAATTTGGTGACTCTACTAAATTTCACCTACACTTATATAAGGTACTGTTGATGGTTTCGTAACCAATGAGAAGCTTAACCAGCTCTCTACTTGGTTTAAACCACTGATCAAGAGACACGGTAGTGTCTCGCGCCAAGTCACGCGAAGCCAAAGATCGCGCGTAGCGACAGCGAGGCACCCCGGGTATCTTCACGCGAGTCGTTAGTTATGAGAGTACTTGAGATTATTAGATTGCAATAACCGCTGAATGGATCGAGTTTTTACTAGGCTTAATCGATAGCTTGAGTTTGATTTATATAAGAAAAGCATCTTTATTTTCGTTCTACATATAACATAAACGGAGATATTACGAATAACATAAAATATTACGATGCAAAGTCCGAAACAGAAAATTTATGAGTAAGAAACGTGTTGGTCTCCTTGGTCGTCTCCGGAAAAAAGTACAGTTCTCGTTTCTACCGCATTGCAGTAGTGGCGCTCATAGCTGACAGTGCTTTAAGCATATATATAATATATACATATATTCATTATCTATCATCAACCTCGTTTAACACTTGGTGAACAACAAAGATAACGATATGCTGGCAGTACTGTCATTGAAAATCATAATATAATCGTTTATTTATGATTATAAATAATAATATAATAAGAATGATAAATAAGGTCTGTTTATAAACATAAATATTTATAAAACATATAAAAATTTTTGTTTGCAATGACGCCAAGTTATTACGATCCAAGTTATTATTTAATTAAATTAAATTAATTATTTAATTTAGTTAAAGCTAGTATGCGATCGTTTTACGCGTTATGGGATTCGATAATTTAAGATCAAGATTCTGATAGCTTATATATAATAGATATTTTATATTTATATATTAAATATCTTTTGATGTATAACTGTCTCTCTTTCTCTCTTTCTCTCTTCCTCCCTTCCGCCCACTCTTTCTTTCTCTCTCTTTTTCTTGCTTTCGTTCTTTCCCGCTCTTTTAAATATACATATATTGATTCTGAATAAAACACGAAGAATAATATATAAATGAACGTGTATATGAATGAATCTATGTATATATGAATGTATGAATCGATAAATGTGATGTAATATGAATGTATATAAATGTAAATATATATAAATTAAATGAATGAATAAATTAATATTTAATATACATTTTAATACACATAATATTTATTATATTAGGTCAATATATTTAATATTTGTACCTATATCGTAGGAATATACAATAAATATACATATATTAGAACAGTTTGAGTATAGTAGAATACAAAAATTATATCTTATGTATGTAAAATAAAATAAAAGAATTTTACAAGTTATATAATAAAACAAGAAAATCTAGTTTGTACTTTTTTTACATTCATATAGTAATCTTATAGTAGAACTTAACTTTAGAGGAACTATATTTTTTCCATTACATTATATAGTAGTATACAGAAATTATATCTTATTATTGTGCATAAAATACAATTTTAGAGAAACTTTACAAGTTATATAATAAAAAAAAATTTAGTTTGTACTTCTTTTTATATTTTTATAGTAACCTTATTATAGAAACTACTTTACAATGTTTATATTTTAATAGAACTTTACTTTAGAGGAACTATACTTTTTCCATCACATTTGTAATATTTATATTTTAATAGAACTTAACCTTAGAGGAACTATACTTTTTCCATCACATTTGCAATATTTATATTTTAGTAGAACTTAATTTTAGAGGAACTATACTTTTCCCAAATTATATAGTCATAGTTGCTAATAATAAAAGAAAATCTGTTTATACTTTTTCTAAATCATACATAGTAAACTGATTAGAAATTAATACTTTAGAACTTAACTTTAGAGGAACTATACTTTACAAATTATATAAGTAATATAAAGTTCTATTGTAAAAAAGAAAATCTTGCTTATATTTCCAAATCACATATAATAAACTTATTAGCAACTAATACTTTAGGATTTTATAGGATTTCCTTATATTAGTTTTACAACTTTACAAGTTATAAAACTAATATAAGGAAATATTAAAAACATTGGATTTTTGGCCGCCTCGTCTATTATATCCTCGGCCGCGGTTTCTACCCGCTCGTGCCCATCTATGAGGTACAACTGCAACACAAAAATTTAAATTTGTTGTTATTTATATAATAATTGTTATTTATTATGTATAATTCTTATTTCTTATTTATTTACCTTGTATATCCTGTGATATATTATGATCTTGTAAATTTTCTGGTGCTTGCGCTTGTGCTTGTGCTGGTGATGGGGAGGATACGGGAGGCGTGTTTGCCGCCAATTGTCTTTTTAATTTATTCAACTCACTTCTTAATAATATTATTTTGTTATCTTTTATTTTTAATTGATCTTCTTGATCTAAAAAGAAAATTAAATTGATTATATAAGTTATATAATAAATTTATATTTTATAAATATAGAATAAAAAATTTAATTAAATTATATATTTTGTTTCTCTCTACCTTTTGAACGCGATATTTCTGCCGACCATATCGGTTGTCTCGGGGTTTGATTAGCTTTTACAATAACTAAATATAAATAGAAATTTTTTTTGAGAAAAGTGAAATTTCAATTTTATATGCATACTATGTAGGCAATTTATGTAGGCAATGTAGGCAATTATGATAATTTTTTATGTTTCTCTTACAATTCATTGTCATTAATAAAATGTTTAAATGTGTAATAGTATAGCATTTTAATATGAAAAGTTAATAAAATGTTTATAGATATTATTGATTTTAATATAGTGCAATATTGTATATGTATTTAATAAAGTTTATATATACTTCTATGACGTTCACGCTGCTGTGTCTCTGATTTCGCAGCAGTTTGAGTTATATGACGTTCAGCACGCTGCTGATGTTGTTGTGTCTCTAATTTAGCGGCAATTTCAGCCAATTGCATATCTTCTCTAGTTATTCGAATATCTTCTTTAGTCATATCTATAAATAATAAAAACAATATATATATAAGCTTATCGCTAAACTCATATATAGATTATATGATTCAGATTTTTATATGTATGTATAGTCATGTAGACAATTATGCTGATTTTTTATCTTTCTTTTACAATACATGAGAATTAATAATATACTACATACATAGTAAAATTGAAGTGATATTATTGATTAATATTACAATCTGCTACTATTAATTTTACTTTTACATGATAGACCCATGGCATTAGCATTGTATAAAATAATTTTAAAATATATATTATGTATAACAACTTACAGGTACATATCAAGTATATTTAATTATGTAATTAACATTTATACATACCTCTATAACGTTCATGTTGCTGTTGTTTTTCCTTCGTAGTCATGGGTTGAGCCATTTCCATATTAGCGGCAACTTGAGCTAACTGTAAATCTTCTTTACTTATGCGAGCATCTTCTTTAATTGCATCTATAAACAGAAATATTGTAAAATGATGAGCTTATTGTATGCTAAATATATAAATTAATATTTTGAATACTTCATATATAAAAATAATAGCTTCTATGTTAAAATGCCATATTATCGTAGAAAGAATTTCAACATTTTATTAAGTATCATGTATTGTAATAAAACAAACTGCGATAAATGTAATCGTTGATTAACTTACAGAGCAACCAATTTAAAATAACAGTTTCAAAGTAACTCTATATTAAATATATAATTTTATATTTACCTTTTATATCCTCTTCGTGTTGTTCCATTTGTTGTTGAAATATCTTTTTTTTTCCATTTCTTCAGACATTTATCTAAACAAAAATTAATGAATTAATAATTAAAAAATTAAAGTACTATTACATATATATTGTAAACATAGAATAATAGTGATATATATCACTACACAAGATATCTACATTATACACAAGATATCTTGTATTGGAGTTCTTTTAATTCAACTATAAAAATTACTGCTTGTAGTAAAGTTGATTAACTTTACTGCAAGCAATAATTGCTTGCGTTTTCGGTCAATTTTCCGCTTATTTAACTTCTTTAACAATATGTAACAATAATTCCTTTACGATATTATCGATGATAAAAAGTAACGTTTCAATATATTATAAATAAAAGCGTTGTATAAAATATATGTACTTACATGTTCTTTTATGATGAGGCACGTGTCGAAGTCAAAGATCGAAGATCTATGCAAAATAATCCAGTATGGCCGTAGTTGCAAGGTATATTAATCACTGGTAATAAAAATCGCGTGATACATAGAGCGCATCGACCGCGCAATGCGCGCTTGTTCGTGATTGGGTGATCTATACCCTATGTGCGCAGTCTGCGTTCTTATTGGAGAGAAGACCAGTATTAGAAAGAGAGAACAATAGAAAAAATCATGAGTCAATTCTATCTATTGTTTTCTGTTACTATAATGCTGATTCTTGCTTCCAACGAGAATACGCACTCTATTTGTACATGATGCCATAATCTAGACATAATGTGCACGTTAGTTTAGAAGTTCTGAGGAAGAAGTTTTGTTCTGAGGAAATTGCAGTATCCATCCAAATATTCGAGAGAAGAAGAAAATTGAGGCCGAATTTTTGTGATATACGTACATTCGACGACGAAAAGAAAGACTTGTATTATTTTCTAAGGTATTTTTATTTCTCTTATCTAAATAATTTTCATATTAAAATGTTTAAAAACACTAAATACACATACATACACACATAGATGCA